ACTTTATTTCATCTTTTTATAATCATTAGATATTAAAATATTATAATTTTTCTATAATGTTTTATAGCCAATTTATACCTACACTTTAAGGGATAAATTTAATAAATTAATTAAAAAAAAAATATTATAATATAATTAATTATATTATTTTTTATCTAATAAATTTTCAAAACATATAATTTTAATTCACATTTAGAGGTTTCTGTATTATCTAAAACTTTAATCAATTTTATTTTATGATCATTTAAAATCAAATTATTTATTAATAAATTATTAAATGATTAGTATTTATTAAATAATTTAGATATTTTATTTTATTATAATAATATATTAAAATTATTTAAAAAAAAATTATAAGTTAGATTTTTAAATTTAATTTACAAAAAAATTTTATTATTATAATAATTGTTAATTATATAAGAATATAATAATACTTAGTAAATTAAAAATATAGTTAAAATTTTCTAGTAAAAACATTTTTTTAATTAAAATTATTATGTTATTAGAAAATATTACTAATATAAAAGGATAATTTTTTAAAGATACAATTTTTAGTTTATATAAATAATATAATAAAAGTTATAAGAATACTTATTTTTAAATAAGTACTTATATTAAATAATTTGATTTTAATTTAATAAATTAAAATAAAATAATTAATAAATAAAAATTTAATATATAAAATTTTATTTAAATTTAAAGTTTAAAATTTTTTAAAAAAAAATTTTTTTATTTAAATATAAATTTTTAAATATTTTTTGATAAGTAAAGTTTAAAAAATGCTAGAAAACAAAAAGACCATATGATAAATTAAAATTAATTCATTTTCTTAGCATTCATTTCATTTACTTATACATAATACATATGTATATATATATGTATATATACATATTTTTTTTTTTTTTTTTAAAAAAAAAATAAAGTTGAGTAAAATGAATGAATAAGTTAATAAAATAATAATATTAATCTAAATAACTAATAGTTTTTAAAGAATGTACAAATAAATAACTAAATAAATTAACTACTATTTACTAAAAGTTCTAATTTTTTTTTTTAATACTATAAACATTATAATTATTTAACAAAGTTTTACGCGTATTATTGTAACGCTTTTTGTTTTTTTTTGTGTATAAAAGGTTTTTTTTTTTTTTTGATTATTAAGAAAATTCTATATAGAATTGTCCTCCCATAAATATAATTTCTTCTCCATATCCTAAATTCAAATTTTCTTTTAATATAAAGAATTAAAAAAGTTATTATACTAATATTACCGAAAAAATTTTCTTAAACAAAAAGTCTTAATTAAATTTTGGTGTGGAGAATATGCAATATAAATATTTCGATGGTGTAGATAATGAGTGTTGAATTTAATGAAAATGTAAGGGGGAATGTCTAATTAGACGAGATAACTTGATGATTAAAATGCTGAAAAATGATTCACTCGCGTAATTGTGTTGCAATGTTTTAAAAAAAGTTGATTGGCGCGTTAGTTTTTTGTAAGAATTGTCATAGAATTTTTGATTGTAGAAAGGAAGGAATGGAGTTTGCTTGTTTTTTAAAAAAAACAAAAATATTTTTTAAAATTTTTGGTATAATGTTGTTTTAAATGATTAAGTTGTAAAGATGTAAAGACGTAGTTCGATTAGATATTATTTATATAATAAGTTGTATTAAAATAAATTGATTACTAAAATATTGGATAAGATATTTTGCTTAGATTCTTCTTCTTGTTCCAAGAGTACATTTGCAATTTGGACAAAAATGCGTTACATCTACAAAAAAAAAATAATAAATTATTATTAATCTTTTTTTTTTTTTTTTTAAAAAAAAACAAAAAAAGGAAACCTTTATTTTGTTTCGATCCTTACCTTTACAGATGTCCATGAAGAAAGGGACCCAAAACAATACAACAGTAAGCACAAATAGACCCATAGCAAAAATGTAAACGCAAGTACCATTTTGATATTTTATACGAGTTTCAACAAATTTACTACAATTTGGACACTGAGTTTTAACAGGAAAATCCGGTAATTTCAAAGGTAAATATACTGTATTACGAGTATTTTTTTTCTTCTTCCTTCTTTGTTGAAGTTTTTCTGAAGACGATTTTTCAATACAAGAATTTGATGCTTTACATATTGGGCTTTTTTCGTTATCCAAAGAGGAAGAAGAGGAAGAGGATGAAAGAGATGACGACGAAGAAGACGAATGAACTGCTTTCAATTCAACATAATGAAATGATGATATAGCTGTCATCGTATTCGGAAGTAAAAAAAGATATATAATACAAGAAAAAGAATTTTTTTTTTTTTTTTTTTGGTGATTTTTGAAAATTTATTTTTATCAAAAAAAAAAAGAGAAAGGATCTAATATTTATATTATAAATTTTATAATATAGAATAAATAAATAAATAACCTGTTAATAATATGTTAATAACTGTATTGTGATTCATATGAAGGGATATTTGTTTGAAAACCCGTTATGATAAACTTTTGGTAAGAATGGTTTTATAAAAAGACAATTATATTCTAGAAACAAGGAGATCAAGTTTTTATAACCGAATGTTATGCCACTTTTTTAATTTTCAGGAATATTCCCTGTTTTTTTTTAAAAAAAAAAACCATCGAAAAAAAAAATTTTTTGAGGCTTTTTTATAGAATGATTATTTATATCTCGTATATAAATTATTTAATACTTTAGTTGCATGATATCTCAATTCAATTAGCCAATTATATAACATAATAATGATTAAAATAATTTTTAGTGGTAGTTTACACAGAATAATTTATTTTTGTGTGATCAATTTGTAATGTAGATCTTGTTTACTTGTTATTTTGTTGAATCGAAAAATTTGATCAATATACCACGCCGTCAAAACCCGAGAGAGTCATCGTACGTATATAATCTATATATACTTGATCAAAAAAGATAAAATCTAACAATAGTTCAACTAGTGAAGGAAGAAAAAAAAATATTCCTTCACTCAATTAATTAATATTCCCCACATCAGATTTCTTGGTTTACTTATCGGCCATAATTGTTTATTTGCTTGATATATCCCTTATTTACCCTTATAAGTGATTTCTTTAAATGTAGTTAAATGCATAACATATGCATACATGCATACATCGTCATTTAAGTTACTAATTCCAAAAAAGATTTTACACCGAATGAATGGATTGACATAAATGTTAAAAATGAAAGTATCGCGTGCGTTCTTATGCAATTGCAGATACTCATCACATTATTATTATATCACCTGTAATATTCTTTTAAGAAGGACCAACATTTATTCCTTCGCAAGGGAAACAAATAATTTTGTTTACATGTGTGTGCTACCCGAACATATATTGTTGTCTGTCATACTATCACGACTTACAACAATCGAACCTTATCATCAAAGGGAATATCAAATGTCATTACCACAAGGTTTTCATTTACGAACGATTTCTTTCGAAACATATTTGGTTATGTCTTTCGGGATGTTCCGCAGTGCATTCCATTTGTTACTGTATGCACGTGATATATATCACAATAAAATCATCGTATTGTCTACCCTCCTTTTTATTTTCAAAATTACCAATTTCCGAATTTAGATAAAATTTGTTACACTAATTTTTTTCCTTCTTTGATATAATTTCTTTGCCAGACAATAAAGAAATATACGACCATACGCAGAGAAACATTATTGTACGTTGTTGAATTTCGCAATTTCATAGTTAGTACGGTTAACATCACACCATCACAACCCTTTTGAAAATAATACAATGTGAGTGGATGTGAGTGATCAATTATTTGTTCTTTGTTTATTTTTCTCCCTGGTTGGTTTTGTCCTCTGACATTACACAAAATTGTTTAGTTTTGCATCTCTTTTTGCTGTTTTGAAAGAAATTCATACTGAAACAAGAAATAATTATTTTTGAAATATATTTTTGAACTTTTTAATTGTAAGAGAATATAATTAAGATTGTTTTTGTATTTATAAATATGCATGTTATCTTTTTACTTCTATATTAGTTTTTATAGTTTTAAAAAAAAAAAAAAATATTGTACCCGCTTTTAATCATAAACTTTAAAGAATTATTATGGCTGTTTAAATGTAACAAACATTAATAATTCATGTAATTCATGCCAAATAAATCCTCCCTAAAAAATTTTTTTTTTTTTTAGATTTCCAAGATTGGATTTATTAAATTTTTTTTTAATCAAATTTCAAATTGTTTAATCTTTAAAATTCAGAAAGAAGCCGATTGTTTACAAATTAAGCAATTTTTATTAGTTTCGAGTATTTTTTTTTTTCTTTTTTTTTTTTTTTTAAAAAAAAAAAGTGTTTAAATCTGTGGAAGATAAACAATGACGATTTTTTCAGAAAATCAGAGCATATGACATATAGATTTTCTCCTAGGGATCCTTAAAGAAATTGAGATTTAATCATAATTCAAGTAGAACAATGTATAATTTGCGGTGTATCGTTATCTTTAGGGGAGTAAAAGGGGATGACCGAACTTGTGATTTGGTGAATCTAAGAAACAATATGTGTAATTCATCGTATTACAAACGAAAAAAAAAAAAATTTTAATTCAAGCACAGATTTTAAACGTGCCATTTTATTAAATCATGAAAGGATTAATTCTGCTTTGAGACGACATTTTTGCGGCAAAACTAATAAATAATATTGTGATGCATTTGACTTGTGTTACTTACTGAATTATCTCTCTCCAAAAAATTATTCAAAGGAGTGGATGACATTTAATGCTAAACTTTAAATACAAGAAACCGGAAGAGCGGAAAGGGGCGTAATCTTGCAACTTTTGTGAATCTTATGTTTGAAATCGTATTAAAAACTTGACACGTTGTCACGAGATTTGCCAATCCCAAATATTGATATTAACTGGGAATTTTTTAAAAAAAAATTTTTTGATTTTAGTTTTGGTTAATAAAGTCAGTTTAAAACTTCCCAAATATGGATTTTTAAATAATCGATAAAAATGGCAAAAGCTGAATGGAACGGTGAATATATTTATTTTTTTAATGTAAGGATTCTTTCCTAACACTAACTAATTAATTATTAAAGAATAGTTATTGCTGAAACTAACGGAATTTAAAATTGTCGATCTTTAGATTAACGATGAGATCTAATACTAATTCCTCGATTTAACCTTTTTTATTTCTATAGTTCCCTGCAAATAGTATTAAATCAGAATTTTTCCAAATTTCTTCTCATCACACATTATGTCCAAAGAAAGGAGAAGCTTCATATTACAACATTGATGATAATGGTATTTATTATTACGAAGACGAATAATCCTTTTTTCTTCTTTTGTTTGATTCTAAAATAAAATTTTCAGTAGGTAAACGCTGCTAGGTATTATTCTAAACCAAAAGATGCTGCGAAAAATATTCAAGGATATACTGCTCTTTGGAATGGTTTTAATGTAACTCAATAATCATAAATCATGTATTTTTTTATAAAAAAAATAAATCTTGTAAGCTACTTTTGCGAATATTTGTATAAGATAAAAGTAAAATAAATAGAAAATTCTACATTTCGTTGATCAAATATTAATATAATATCATATATAGAGTAAAATTATTTAATAAAATTGATCTATTTAATATTATTTTAATTAGATTAATAATTTAAAATGACAAAAAGGATCGAAAATTTGTTAGTAAATTCTTGAATAATTATATTGGCTTTTTTTATTTTTATTTTTATTTTATTATATGGGAATGGTTGACAGTACAATCAAGTTATGAGAATAGTAAATCATAGGTTTAATATATTTATTAATAGTTTATCCTGAGCAAAGCGAAGAACAATATAAGTTTACGCTACGCAATGTGAAAATTTTTCAGTCTGTGTGTTTCTCTAACTACCCAGAAAATTCTTCGATCACGTGATTTTGGCCCGCATTATGCATAATCCCTAAACCCTGGCCTAACCCTAAATCTAAGGAAGTAGTGGTTATTGTGTGACAAGTTCTTAGAAAATGGAAAACGCGAAAAATGTAATACAGTTGATAAATAATTTTGGATCATATGATAGAAAATTTTTTTTAGGTATTTTTAAGATAATTATATTTCTTTATCTACTCATATGATAATTAATTAATTCTTTCTTTTGTGATTATTGAATTCAGAATTTATCAAAATTTCTATTTTCTAATATACAGTAAATATAATTTTAATCAAATTAAGATAAAATATTATTAGGAAAATGAAAACTATTGTTAAATTTAAAATGATCTAAACTAAAAAAATTTATACTAATATTTTTTTATTAGGATTTGTACAATTACAAAAACCAATCAGCATTGACTCAATTATTAAGCGGCAAACATTGAGACATTTTCATCATATATAGTCCTATATTTCATTTAAAACTAATTAAAACAAAAATAACATTTAATTTAATGATTACATTTTAATAAAAATATTACTATTAAATCCATCTTAATTAGAACTTTCAACAATTATAAATATGATGTTTCTAGGATTAATAGTTAAAATATTTTAAGTAGAAGAAATAATAAATAATTTAACGTCAAATAAAATTATAATTTCTTAACTATAACTTGACAATTAAAATAATTAAAACTATAAAAATAATAAAAATAATTATAACAAAGTTATCTATATTAATATAGTAAATTGATTTATTTAATTTAATTTATTGATAAAGTTTATAATATTTTTATAGTTTTTTTTAAATTATATTTTATCTTAATTAGCAAAAAATATAGATTAATAATTCTATTTAAATAGAATAGAAATTTCTTAAAATTAAATATAATTATATAATTAAATTAAGTACTGGATAACACTTTTATAAGAGTATTATCTAGTTCTACTATAATGTTATCTAATTATGAGTATAATATTAACTAGTTACTATTTTTAACATTCTGTAGCCTTACTATTGCTTTATTGCTATTGACTTAATTTCATTGCTCTATAGCTTTTTTATTGCTTTGTAGTTATTTGTTTGATTTTATTGCTCTGTCCTCTTTTTATTTCCTTTTAGCTATTCGTTTGTTTTTTATTGCTCTACGGTCTTTTTGTGACCAAGATACTATGTTGATATTTATTGTTAAAAATCATGTTGTAATTGGGTAGCGCAGTAAATTTGTAAATAGATTTATGTGATTTTAAGCTCATTTGGATGAAGACGTTAAGAGCTTTCCAATAATGCTAAGATCGTATAAATCAGATACCTGAATGCTAAGTTATTGCGTTTTAAAGTTTTAAAAAAAATATGAAATAGTGTTAGTCAAAATTTACTGTATCTTACTACATTAATCACGTGTTTTAATTTCTCGCAAATTTTTTTAGCAAAATTTAAGTGACCTCAGGTTGCTAAAATTACATGAATTTTCTTGACAAATTTTAGCTGGGAGCCCTGGCCAAACCTGATCACCTGCACATGTGAAGTGCTGAATTTGTAATTTATCTATTTGCTAAAGATATGTCACAATCCATTTACTCACTTTTTGATTGCTGATAAAGTATATGTAAAATACTAGTATTATGCCATTTTTATAATTCTATCTTTTGTAACTCTTTTGATTGCTGAGAATGAAACACAAAGTGCCAAATTAGTTTAGGCTATATTATTTTCATATTTTTTTTCGTGTATTCTTCTGAACCTTTCTGCCTTTCTGACCTCTTTTCTGCCTATTGGCGATAGTATCCCAAGTTGTAATTTCTTATTTTCTTTCTATATATTATTTTAACTTAGATTACTACCAATTTTATATCTTATTTTTCGCTCCTACCTTTCTAGAACCCTTTCTTATATAGTTGCTATGAAGGGATACTTTAGAATACTATTATATCGTTTACTTTTTTTTAGCTTAATGCTGGGTATTATTACTGACCTAGCGTTTTGCCAGCAAACGTATTTGTTCAAAATTTTATTTTAAACTTAGGATTTTATTAATGTACATATACTAAAAACTTTATATTTATCTATACTAAAAAGTTTGTTTTTATCATACTACTTATATAAAAAAATGCTGTGCCTCACCCTAAAATAATAAATGAAGCCACCAGACTCTTCTCTGATTTAGCCAACCTTAATTATATACCTGATTATAATGATTATGTATATTTCTAATATTTATCTAATAATAAAAATGATATCTCTCTTCTAGGTGCTTATTATCCTAAAGAGATTTTTGATAAATATATAATTCAGGTGGTAGAAAAAGATTTTACGATAATCAATCATTCATTTAAAGTTTATGAATTACCTAATACCTATGAATGCATTGATGGGAATTTGCCTCTTCATCTAGTTCTGAATATTAATATAAGACAAAAGTCTGATTCTATAAATCCTGAACTCCCTTCTTTAGATGGATATAAAATTTCTTGCAAAGATTTATTATTCAAAATCTTAATTGTCTATATTGATATTATATATTCTGATTTAAACTATTTTATAATTTTAAATGCTTTTGCTTTAGCCAGTTCGTCTAATACTAATAAATGCAATTGGCATATATATATTTTTATGCTTATTTTATTAATTATAGAGACCTTAAGGATTTTGTGAAAAAAGTTACTGATAGGGTTAGAAAGTCATATTCAGTGTTTATTAATATTAGATTTTATAAATCTCATTTTAGATTTCATCTTTTTAGATCGGTAAAAGGAGATAGAGTTAAAAGATCTGTAATTTCTTCTGCTAAAAAAAGCAAGCTAGAAAATTATTTAGTTTAGCCTAAATCCAATTATTCTAAAATCTGATCCTAAACCTTTTCCTCTAAAAAGTTAGAAAAAGAGGAATTTCAATCTATCGAAAATAAATTCATTTTAAGCATAAGAGCTAGTTTGGTTATCACAAAATATGGATGACTTGAGGTTGGTGATATTAGAAAGGGATTTGTTAACTTTCAAGCTCAGTCATTAGAAGCATACCCTATTTATAATATCAAATACAAAAAAGACCAGTTATATAGCTTTCTTCTTAGAAGCAAAAGCTTTATACTTAGATGTTATTGACAAAAGCAATATAAATCAAACCATAAAGAATTGATATTTAGGAAAGTAACTAAATTTTTTATAAAACCTAAGCAAGGAATAGTTAAAAGAATAAGCCATGCTATATCAAATCTACATTCTCTTGTAAGATTATCAGAGATGATTATTTATGTAGAAAAATTAAGAAACTCTCCAGAAGCATATCCCGATTTCTTGAATACTGAGAAAATAATAACACTCATTCATTCTCCTCTGAAAATATAGAAAACCCCTACATTAAGAGAGATTATTATGGCATTGAAAGATAAAGTATATGATATTTCTTCTTTACTATGCTATATCTGGATCTCTTATCGAAAGTTTCTTAGCAATGAATCAAAATCCAAACTTAATGAGTTAAAAACATCTGGTTTTTGAATTTGCAACTACCAAAATATGCAAGGAGATTTATCTATAAATGAGTGAGATATTATCATAGTATAGGTTGAGAGCTTCTTTCATGTTAAATTTATAGCATCTATTTGTAACAATTCTCAATGAAGTTAATATTATTATACGCTAAATATCTAGTGATACAAATACACAGAAATCTGAAAATGCAATGCGTGATGTCTTAAGATCTGCAAGACATATTTAGACCATAGATACCTTTATAAATATCTTAACACTAACCTTCTACAGATTTATCGTGATGAAAATATTCATGTAGTCAATAATAAGTATTAGCTTTGTATAAGTGAGACAGTTGAATTTATTTATGATCTGAATAGTAGAGCAGAAGCTATGTTAATAGGATATGCCTTTTAAAGTAGGGTAAACATATGGCATTTGTATATACTAAAGCAGTAATAGTTAAAACGTTAGTAGAAAAAGCATCTAAATTGTTTAAGCCTGATAATTCACCTATTAGAGCCCATACATACTATGGAGATATAAATAGAAAGTAAAAACAAAAAAACTTTCTGATATTAATGTCACTTAGAGTGAACTTGACTATATAGCTTATACAAATACAGTAGAGGCAGAAATATCATTCGAGATTACAGGTCACTTTAATATAGTTATAGCTATTATAAATATCATCACTTTAGATCATGTTAAAGCTCTTACACAAATGCTTTACCAAATTTGTGATTTCCCCTATTATATTGTTTCTTTATTCTATCAGAAAAATTCTAATAAACTTTTTACTTACAGGTCGTGAAAATATTTGAGCAGAACTTGAAAGTGCTTAGCTTAATAATTTGCTCACTAATTTACCCACAACAATAAAGAGACATTGTGAATGGAATAATAATAGCATTTCTTATAAAGTTGATAAGTCTCTAACCATAATAACTTTTATTGAAGTTGAGCATCAGAAATGTCTTTTTACAAGATACTTTATTGAGAAGCTTTGTAGTCTTATAGCCAGTACTGGTACTTCTCTCCAACTAATAAAAATGGATGAGAGCTGAGAAGTTATAAGGAACTGTAAAAGGATCCATAATGAGATTAGAGTTGAAGCATTAGTTATTAAAGAAACAGATTTTAATGCAATTACTACTTTTCAGAATTTTAGCCTTGAAGAAGCTGAAGTTTTTAAATTCAACTAAGAGTGCTTTATTGCAGATATTATAGCATTTAAATATTTTTATATGTGAAATTTTTATTGTAAAGACATGAGCATTGAGAATTGGAATAATATTTGCAATAGAAAATTCGTTAAAAATTTTAGTTTGCCTGAAGTTCTGAAGAATTTCTTACAGTTGTCTTATTTTCAAAAGCAAGATTATGATGAGAAAAATGCAATAAAGGGATTAAAAGCTGAGGAAAATATACAATGAGAAATGGCCTGCCATAAAGCTGAAGAGAATCTGAAAAAATCAGTAGTAGAAGACTTGCGTAAATCTTATTCAGCAAATTATGGAAGGCTATAAGAGAATTCTTTCAAATATTAGGCTTTACTAGCATTGATGATAAACGTATCCTTCTTAGTAATATTATATCAGAAGCATTCGTATAATTCTGTGCAAGATTTATAAAAATTCAAAATCAGTCTTTATCACTCTTAGCTTTAAGTCTTATGCTAAGACAACACTAGATCTTAATTTGTCTATAAAGGTAATTAATGCAATTGCTGGTAATTGGTATGACTATACTATTAAAAGTAATAAAAAAAGAATAAAGCTTAAGGGACAACAAGTTTGACAATACTCATATTGAATTAATTGCAACTATATAATAGTACTGGTTTTAGAGATAAAGAAGCACCAGTGCTTCCACCATATAAGCTAAAAACAGATAATAAAATTATTTCTCTAGAATTGATTTAAAAACTTTTTGATATAGTTACAATTAATTAATAAGCGTCAAATCATCTTTATTTTTTTTATGTTTCTCTAGTCAGTTTTCTTATAAACAGGTTTGGCATGATCTATACAAAGTCAGTTTGGGAATAGATCAGCTTATTATAGAATATACATCTTTTTTTAGGTGGTAACTTGTAATGTCTGACACACTCAACCTCGCATAAGCATCTTTTCTTACAGAATGACCCATCTTTTTTGATATATTGGCAAAACCAAGATGGTAAATTAGAAGGGATCTCTTTAGAGTTCTCTGAATCAGCTGTATTTCTACTAAAAATCATAGTAATTTTTTTTGGAAAAGTTATTAAGATTAATATATGTTAAACTTTCCTTTATTTTTATTATAGATAGATTTGATAAATATTCAAAAATATGATACATGTTTTCTGAAGAAATAAGAATTTTTTATTTTAAAGATTTGATTTTCTTAATGTACATATACTAAAAAAATTATACTAATCTACTTATCATTGACATAGCTACCAAAATAGTTACCCCAAAAATCCAAAAACCTAAAGCTAATAATTTTGTGTTAATCTTAGAGCAGTTCTTAGAAAAGCATAATTTATCAGCTGATTTCACTCCAGAATAATTAAGCAAACATGCTCCTGAACTTGATGCTTTGCTTTCTAATTAGGTAGTTCACAAATGTGTTAAAGTTACCCTTACCAATGGTACTAATAATAGACGTTCATTTAGTAAAGAGAAGATAGATGCTTTCATACTAGATAAAAGAAAAAAAATCTCACTATAGAGGGAAGGGTGAAATTTTGTATTACAGTCAGTAATGCTATGGATATTTTCACCTATCATCTAGATTTAGGTCTAAAAAATAAAGATGAAAATGAAATTATTGCCAATGTTTCATGTCAGTCAACATTCTGTATAAAATTAGCAGAAGGTAGTGTAGATCTTGCAATTATTGAAGAATTTGTTAAAGACAAGAATCTTATCTAAGATTCTAATAAAATTTAGAAAGAACAAACTAAAAAGTGAATGGCTAATCCAGACAGAACTTTTATATATTTCTTCTAACAAATGTGAGTAAAAGGATTCAGAACATAGATATTTTCAAAATTCCTACTAAAGAGAATCTCACAGATGTGATAGTGATGTTGAGTATAAGACCTGCAAAAGTAAGATCTCTTTAAATTAATCACTATAAACTGGATTTTTTGAATATTCAAGTATGGTATAAAGAAAGCTATTTTTGGTACTGCATAGGCTATCTAAAGAGTAAAAGAGAAAAGAAGGAAAATCCTGAGCTCTGATCATTTCTTTCCATGAAAAGAATTCAGAATGTGTTAGAAAATTACTTACCTGAATCTGAGATGCAATTAAGGCTAAAAAGTTACGTAATCGTATCTATACTAAAAGTAAAATACGTAATACTTGATCATTTAACGAATTCTTAAAGCAAGAGCCTTATAAAACTATATCTGAAAAATTAAGAGATTATGAAAGTAAACATATTTTCAGAGTTCATAGTAATAAAAATCTAACCCTTCAACATCTTAAATTTCTTTCAAGAATTGCAATGAGACAAGAATCAGATTGTCTTAATGCAAGCAATAATTATGCTATAGGTGATACAGAATCAGAAGATAATAGTATTAAATTTGATCATGAATCTGAACCTGAGGCAAGTAATAGCCCAAAACTCCAAATACAAGCTTCTTCGTCTGCGCTTCAACCTGATCCAAAAAAGTCTTAAATTATGAATATGAGTTCAATATTAGCTGAAATTGATACAATGTTAGCTGAAATTCAGAAATAAATACCAATCTGAAGCAGGCTAAGAGGAGTTTTGCATGATCATTAATTAGATTTTTTGCTAGATTATACCTTGTATGACAAAAAATATAGATTAGCATTTTACTTATTGATGAATTTCTATATTATTACACTTGGAATATCTAAACTTTTGAATATATGCTCTCACATCTTTCTCAGCTTCTTCTTTTATTATTTCTTTGTCAGTATAACTGACAATACCAAGATAATATTGAATAATGCTTATATTCTCTTTCAGATATAAAAGCAAATGGTATTTTTAACTAAGTAAAAATTTCCCTAATTATCTATTGATAAGATCTTCTTTATATCGATATAATGTATTAAGAGTTGGATGTCCACCAATCTCAAGATGCTTCTCTATTGATATAATTATCTTCACCAAATTAAACAATAGTTTACTTGTAAAATTAAGTGTTTCCGCTTTCTTGCTTTGATTCAATGCTATTTAGTTTGCATTGTTATTAATACTAAGATTTCTTTCAGCTAGATGCTCCTGAATAGTTAATACATCTATCTTCTTGTACAAAAGCACTTCATATAGTTGATTTTCAAGTATTTCGCTTTGAAAAAATTTATTATTAGTATTACTTATCATGATTATATTTATCTCTAGCTAGCATATGGGACCTTTGCAATAGAAAGGGAGGAAACTGCCAGAAAAAATCAATTTTATTTTTATATGCCAAATATGATTTTTAAGTCAAAATATGTTCAGATTTAGCATTAACTCAATTTTTATTTTTTCTAGCCGTTTCCTCCTTTTCTATTGCAAAGGTCCCATATATTCAAATTTATGTCTGAAATACTAATCATCAACTGAGATGATGATCACCAGCTCAGAAGATTTTTTGCTGAGCTATCTATAGTGCCTTTTGCCAAATTGTGTGATAGAAAATGTGAATCATCAATTGGAGTCTTGTGTGATATATTAATTTTTACATATATTCAAAAAAGAAAATATATTAACTTTTGTTCATTATTTTTTTCTCAAAATGTAAAAGAGTGACTAATTACAATATAGGCCTACTATATAAGCAAATAGTGCTAATAAAATATATGTTATAAAATGCTAAGGACTTTAGAATTTTGAGATTGCTAAAAGTGAAACTAACTATATGTTATCAGCTTTGAAAATTTGCCTTAAAAAAATGATTTACAAATTCATTAGATTTAATTTTATATAGATCATATTAAGAAAGATCTTGATCAACGTATTGCATTGGAAAATCAGGCTAATTTATTTAATTTAAAGAATTTACAAAATTCATCTGATTTGCCTGTTTCTTCTGTATTTTCTGTACAGTTTATTTATTTTGTTTATTCTATTTTGTCTGTAATTTCTTTAACGATTATAACTTATTTTATTTTTTTTTATTATTTTTATAATTTATATTATTTTTATTAATTTATCATATTTAAGTATATGTTTATTGAGACATATATCTATATTTAGTTAATTTATAGTGTAACAGGTAGTTAACCGTAGCAAATTAATTTTGTATAAATAGAATAGTTTTTTGCTTAAATTGTAAATTAACTCAGTTGTAAGTTTATAAATTTATTTGTAAGTTACTTATAAGTTTCAAGTTATAAATAAAGGAATCAATTTAAATTTACACAAACTACTTTTCCTTTCAACGTTATCCTTCATCTAGAATTGTTGTAATACCTTACACTAACTTGCTATTGAATTCATCATTACAAGTTTGACTAATATATTTTAAATTCTAAGACATGATAAATTGCTGAGTTGATTCAAGTATAATGAATACCTATAAGACTTAGAGAAAATCCTAAGGTCAGAAACTCTAACATATAGAATTAGCTATCGCAACCCTTTAACTTAGATGTTAAGATAAACGAAAAATAAATCTGATAACAATGTTTTTCTAGTAAATCTGATCCCTTTAGGATCCTCTCTATGTGAAAAGATATGAAGATTCTATTTGCATATGCTTTTATGAAGTTCAACATCAGATGACAATACTTATTACGTCTTATATCTTCTTAACTTTTTCCTTTCTAACAGTAAGATATAAAGCATTTTAAACAAATAAAAAGAAATAGGCTGCAGATCAAACATTTGGAAATGACTATTTCAACTATATTTATGATATTATGACTATAGGTACAGAGTGGTATTTTATTATATATACTCCTGATGGTATACAGTCAACTCTTTTTACAACAAATTTTGATATAACTAATTTTACAATACAATGGATTTTTAGTGTCAGACAGATTTTTAAATATAAAAAACCTTTACTATACCAAATTTAGTAATTAAAAATTCGTACTATGTTTAATGAATTAAAGTCAAAAAAATTTATATATAAAATGACTCTCTTTATAATGAATTTTCTCTATAACGAATTTTTTTT